GAGCAATTGTCATTAGTTATTTATTAATTGCTTATTAAGGTCGTTATGTATGTCCTCTTTGTTTCCAGCCTTCTTTCTTCATGGCTTTGGCTGCTGCCAGGTTTGTGAAGAGGGGGATCAGTCCCTTGGTGAAGCTGTGATGAACACAGGAAGGGGGTGATGGTGCCAACCCAGTGTCCAGGCAGCCCTGGGAAACAGGACAGACACCCACAAGGGATTTGTGTACAAACCTTTGTGACTGAGCAGGCTCTGAGGCTGTGTCTGCCCTTCCTCACACTTTGGACAGGCTCGAAACAGCTCCTGATATGATGGAAGGATGATATGAAGGAAGGATGAAATGATGGAAGTATGATATGACAGAAAGACAAAGCCTTCTCTGCTTTTCTCTTAACTATAATTGTGTTAGAGCAGCACAAACTGATTTAAAAGCCCATTATAATACACCTGTAATTGAAGGCACAGGGCTCTCAATTTGCTCCCTAAAGGCAGAAAGCTTTGGAGCACAAAAGAGGGAGGAGGCACCATGGAGGTGCCCGGCATTGTGACAGCCAGCACTGCACCTTCTCCTGACCTGGCAGCTACAAAGTGCTCTGGTTACAACCTGGAGGAGTCCTGGAGCTGGATGTTGGGTCCCTGCCTTTGGCAGACCCTTGGTTGCCTGAGGGTGGGCTCAGTTTGGCTCAGCATTGCTGTGAGCAGGGATAGGACACCCAGGACTCCCCCTCACCCAATCCCAGTGGCAGCACTCGTGGCAGCAAACTCTGTAAAACACAGGGAAGTCTGAGTGTGACAGCAGTGAGAAGCTGTTATGAGAAGCAGGAGCAGCATCAGGCTGATGCTCAGGAAGCTGCCAGTGCACATCACAGATCGCCTGAAGAATGCAAGTCTGACTCTCCCTCTTTTTCTTTCTTCCAGACACTTTTATAGTTGTTCTTTGTTGTTTCCTTTGATCTAGAGCAGATGTTGCTCGTGCTGGAAGATGGAGGTTTGCATGTTTTATGAAAGGGAAGCAGGGCTGGGCTTACCAGGACAGCCACTCTCTCCCAGGCTGTGCCAGGGGCTGAGACCCCTTGGCTGGGGCAAGCACCAGCTCTGCCTCACTCCCACACCAGAAGGGATTTGCTGGTCTGGAAAGGTCACAGCTGTATTTTCTGCACTACTTGCTTGGCTCCCAAAACTGGGTAGAAAGGGGGTGGTTAAGGCAAAAAAATGCAATTGCTCCTTGAAGAAGGAATGGGCAACTTGATTTGAAGTCCCCTTGCCAGTCTGAGGTGGAGAGGTTGTTCCAGATGCCCCCTCTACTCAGCCTGATGCGTGGCTGAAATTTGGGGTGGGGGGTGTCAGGAGACAGAGGTGGGGGCACGGGGTCAGGGGGAGGACAGCCGGGGCAAGCAGCACGGTCAGTACATGCCAGGGAGGTGGGTGGGGAGCTGATGTTGATGGAAATGAAGGTGGCAGGGCCCAAGCAAGGAGGCAAAGCTGGTGATGTTTATGCAGTTTGGGATGAGCTGTAAAAAGCAGCTGGAGGAATAATCAGGGAAGGCCTCAGTACTGCAGTGGGTGCCGTGTGAGAGGAGGTGGCAGAAATGCCCGGGGAGCCCCACCACATTCCCAGAATGTGAAGATCTGTGTGCAGCACTGCTGTACAATGCAGGCATGGGATCTGCGAGCTGCACACCTGTGCTGGCTCAGGAGCGGGTGTTTGGAGGTGAAAGCAGAGCAGGGATATCGTCTGTGCCAGTGGCAGGAGGGTGTCTGTGCGCCAGGGAATAGATGTGTGTCGGCAGGCACATATGCTTGGATCTGGAAAGACATCTATCACCTGCCTGAACGCCCTCGAACGTGCAGCTCACCATATGCTTTGGTTAAATATTTAAGCAAGCTGCTTTCTGTCCTGGGGGCTCCTTGTGTGCACCAAGTTGGGGCGAGCTGGGGGCATGCCCTGGGCACCTGGTGGGAGCTGAGAGCACCCAGAGACTTTCCCCAGAACTGTGGCAAAGACAGAGAGGGGAAAAAAGAAAGAGTTGTATCAATAAAGCACCAGCCTGCCTGTGGGGAAATCTGTGCAGTGTCACCGGAGCAGCTTGGCCAACACTGCCATGTTTAATCACTTCCAAGCAAGAGAGATGCTGAACACAAAAGGACTGCCCGCAAGGAGAGGGTTCCCGCCTGGGAAGCCTGCATTTACTTAGCTTTATTTATTTATTCATTCCCAAAGGGGCACAGCTCCATCTGCGTCCTGCTTTCGGCAGAGGAAATGTCTCCTCTGCCCCACTGGTGCAGAAATGCCAAGTGCTGGTGAAAGTCCTTTAATGCAGAGGGAATGGAAATGCCAGTGACTGTTAAATAATATTAAATATATGCTTGGATCATTTATTTATTAAGATTTCCCTCCCTAGTCTGGTAAAAGCCTTACAAAACACCTGTTGTGTCTCTAGAAAGGCATTTGGAATAGTTTGTGCAGTAAAATATTCAAATATTTAATTAGCATACAATAACCACCGTGTTAAATCGTACCACTGCATAGACAATTCCAGACTTAGTTAACAGCTTCAGTGACGTTTCTCTGGTTTGCTTCCCAGATGTTCTTGCCTCCTCTCATTCCAGATGGGCCACAGTAAATTGCGTCTCCCTCAAAGTGTCCTGAGCTTGCCCCAGAGTATGGTGGACTTCTCCCCTGTTGCATGTGCAGTTTGAGTTGCTTTTCATAGAATTATGGAAAGGTTTGAGTTGAAAGGGACCTTAAAGACCCTCTAGTTCCATCCCCTGCCCTGGACAGGGACATCTTCTGCTCTCCCAGGCTGCTCCAAGCCCTGTCCAGCCTGGCCTTGAACAGTTCTAAGGATGGGGCAGCCACAGCTTCTCAGGGCAACCTCGGCCAGGCTCTCATGACACTCATTGTAAAAAACTTCTTATAACTGTTCTAAATCAACCCTTTTCAATTTAAGGCATTCCCCTTTGTCCTATCAATCAAACTCAAGTTTAAATTGTTTTAATTATGTTTTATAACCTGGTCAGTTGATTTTTGTCTCTCACCTGGGCTGGTGAAAATGCGTCTGTGCAATCCCAGACCAGCAGTGTAAAGCCTGACTTGCTTTTTTTAAAGCCTCTGCAAAATAAGCTGAATTGGGTCGATGTGGATTCAGCAGTTAAAAACATCAGAAAGGTTCCTCTGTGATGCAGCAAACAGCACATTAAAGATGATGGATACTCCTTTCGTTTTTCTGGGACTTAGACCTGGAAGCTCTTGCTGCTCCCAGGCAAAGGTGGGCGATCACTGCGCCTCCGCTTGGCTCTTCCCACCTCTCCAAAATGACAATGGGACAATGTAATACCCCCTTGGCCTGTTTTTGTTGTGGAAACCATACACTCTGTGTTTTCAGGGCACACATGGATTTCCTGGCTGGCAGTCCCAGCCTCACCAGGAACACAGTGGGGCAATCATAACGATGTTGTAATTAATTGCATCTCCTCAATGGACCTGGCCATGGGCAGAGCATTCCCAGCTCTGAGTGGTCCCATGAGGAATGTGCTGTCCTCTTAGTGACACTGAAGCATATTAATATTTTTTAGGTGTTGTCTTTGTGCCCTCCACTGTCCTGCCCCAGAGCCCCTTCTGCTTGGGAGCAGCTGATCCAGAGCTGTTCTCCAGTGCATGATTAGCAGATTAGCCATCATTCCCAGAGCAGCAAAAAAATGAACTCCCAGAAGCCCTTCAAAACAGAGAATAATTCATTACCCACCTTGATTTCCACTTAAAATGTACTTTAACTACACTTCCAACTACAAACCCTAAATCACCATCATGTTCACAAAAAATCCATCATTTTTTATTTTATTGCACGGCACTGGCATGACATAATCCCTTCCAGAGCGTCTTGGAGTGCTTTACGGATCAATAAATTACTTACCTGCACAGCAGAGGCATTGCGTGCAAGGCCATTGCAGTCATTCCGGCTTGGCGCAGCCCGGGAAGGTGTGGGAGGTGGGGAGAGGCAGGGAAGGGAGGGTCAGGAGTGGGGTCCAAGTCAGGATTTGGGGTGTTGGGCTGCAGCCCCAAGTGGGGTGATGAATCCGGCTCTCCCAGCAAGGGTGGAAGGTGCAGGTGATTTGTGGCTCTCCTGCAAAGTGCTGCAGCAGGGTGCCAGTGCCTGCTAGGCTCTGGAGAAAGTCTGGAAATAAACCCAGGAAGATGACAGTCTTTATTATATTCTGCAGGTGCAGGCTGATAACAGCAGCTGATGGTTTTCCCTCCTACACCCCCACCAGAAGATCTCCCAGCCCTCCCTAGCAGCCACATCATGTCCTCTGCTCATGCAGCAGCAGCAGGATCTGAGTGCTCCCTGCTTCCTCCTCATCCCTTCCCAGCCCTCTCCTCATCACCCCCATCCTGTACCTGTGTCCCCTCCTGGGGCCTGCACCCCCTGTATCTGACTCCTGCACGCTCTGGGTGGCAGTGCCAATGCAGGGGGTGGCTTTCATCCCCGAAGAATTTCGCTCCCTTTGCAGGGTGGTGGACCTTAGAGCTCCTCAGCAGACTCTCTCCGCATGCCCAGCTCCTCTTGGTGCTCCTGTACTCACAAGGGCCTGGCAGAAAGCCTGCACAGCCGCATGAAAAGCTGCAGGAGTTTGAAGGGGTGACTCGTGTTTCCTCAGGAAGATGCAGCTCTACTGGGAAGGGTTTGTCATGGCTAGGAGAACACAAGAAATGCTGGAAGTGGGGTAGGAAGAAGTACTGTCTCACACCACGGAGGAGTTTCTCGAGTCTCCCTAAAATGACTGAATCCCCTCTGGCTACAGTTTCTTCCCACTTCAGCTGTGTCTTCTCTGCCCCCTCTTTTCCCTGTTTGTTCCTGCCAAGTCAGATGAGACTGATGGGCAACTGCAAAAATTGTCAAAGCAGAGGGAGGATGGAAATTCAGCCTCCTTCACCCACAGTCTAAGATTTGAGTTGAAGCAGAAGCAGTTTCATTTTCCTTCTCCTCTTTGCTTTATTGCAGTGTCTCCAAAAATCACCGAGATCTCTTCTGACATCTCCATCAACGAGGGCGGCAACGTCAGCCTCACCTGCATAGCCACGGGCAGGCCAGACCCAACAATCACCTGGAGACACATCTCACCCAAAGGTAAGAACCAAACATTACCAGAAATATTTTGGGAAGGACACAGCACGTTTTTTGTGGCTGGGGAGGGGTCGGTGGCTCGTTCTGTTGCCAGGAGAAGGTGAGATGCACCAAAAAGATAAAAAGGTGTGACTCAACACAGGACTTGGTGACTTTGGTGGAGCAACATCCATCCTGCTGGTCTGGAAGAGGAGCTGATGGTTTTAGTCTTGTGGAGGACTGGCTGTAGGTGCCAGGTTGGGGTTGTTGTGCTTAGAGATTTATAGAATCAGGGAATACTCTCTGTTGGAAGGGACACACAAGGATCATGGAGATCCTGCATGGGGCACTCTCATTGCACATTGAATGTGCTTGTCTGGCCATGTTTCGAAAATTTTTCAGGCAATTCTTACAGGTTGCTTCAAAGGAGGATTGTAAATAGTGCAAATGAGCAGGAAAACACATGAAGCATTAATTGGTGGCCTTGTTAATTGGTAAGCAAACCCTCAGCAGAACTGTGTGGGTGTGACTGCTGGGAAGCAAATTCCCAGGCGTGCAGGACCGTATAATTTCAACCCCCTTTCCCAGCTGCTTTTTGGCACTTGTTTTGCATTTTGCTGCCCTGTTATTCCCAGGCGGTTGCGAGGTTCTCGTGGGTGAGCTGGGGGTGAGATCCAGAGGCTCTGGGTGGGATGAGCCGTGCGGCCAAGCGGCAATGCCTGGCTCTGATCCTCTAATCTTGTCTACGCGCTTCAGTTCCGCCTCACAGTCGTGTTTCCCCTGAGGTTTTACCAACGTGGGCTGTTGTTCCAGACAACTGCCTCAAGCTCTCCTGGGGGAAGCCTGGTCAGGCTGTCCGGCAGCTGAAGGAGCCGACGCAGGGGCGGCAGTGGCGGATGGCGCCGTGGCTGCTCTCCCTGCTCAGCTCCTGATGAGGACTGCAGTGTCTCGCTGCAGCTCCATTGATTTTTTGCTATTTGTCTGTGCTGGAGCGAATGGCTGGGCCAGATCCATCACTCTGCCAAGCTCAGGCAGAGCGAGCTGAGTTGGCGGCATCTCAGCCCCTTCCCTTGACAGGAGTCTCTACAAGCCATTCCCCCAGGGCATATCTTGGCTTATCCACTGTAGGTGGTCCAGCTTCTGAGCTGGTGGCTTTGGTCAGGGTCTGTGCATGGATCCATGTGCTCCTCCCCATCCCTGAGCATCTCTCTATGGAATCAAAGTTGCTGTCACTGTGTGTCACCATCAGGCAGCATTTATGGTTGAGGCAGTCCATGTGATCCCATCTTGAAGCCTCTTCTTCCTACTCTTCCCCTTGTCTACCCTGACAACATATTTTTGTTTTGCTCAGCCTCCTCAGTACCTGTTTTTCACAAGCATCTTGTTTTCCTACAGCCCCACTCTCCTTCCTACATCCCCTCCTGCTCCCCAGAACCCTTGTCTCCCACTCATGTGCCCCTTTCTACCTTCTCCCACATGCCATCCATCCTGTCCTAACCAGGCTCCCAGCTCCTGATGCCTCTGTCTTTCACAGGGGCTATTTTCTGTGTTTGCTGCCATCCAGCAGGTTTTTTTCCCCAGGGAATCTTTACATGCGCTTGAACCAGATGTTTCCATTTTACTTAGGACTTAGCTGCTATGGAAACTGAGGATGCACCAGGAGAGGAAGAGTGAGCTAATCAGAAATTACCTGTGGCGCTGTGTAATTTGCAGCAGCAGCTCTTTCCTGATTTTGGCCATGATTAGGCATTCTGCTTTCAAAACTCAAAGGGAACAAATGATCACAGAGATTTACCAGGGCCTGGTCTCCTGCTGATGGAGGGTGATGAGCCCAGAGGTGGCCCACGACAACTTCTATGGCTGCCCATCTCCATGGGCAGCTCCTCTGTTTCTAGGTCTGCCAAGCCACTGAGGGGAACCTCTACTTCTCCAATTTGCATTCACCACACACAGAAAAGATGAAGATCAGAAGTGTGAGGACTGAAATGAGAGCCAGAGAAAATGCAGAGGTGCTTTAGCAGATCTGGGATGTAGGATACATTCTAATTCAGAGTGCCAGGGGCAAGCAATACCCAAAGCTTGCTGCTGGCCCCTCTTGGTTGTTGTTCTACTCATCCCATGGGAAGTCTCGAGCAAGCTGCCTCCTGTTCCTTCTCACCATCTTCCTCCATCTCGCTTGAAGTGGTGGAGAAAAGGGATGAGGGAGAATTGTTTGAGAGAATGCTGGTGCATAATTTAAGGGTTCACACAGTGGTGGGGAAGTGGCTCTCAGCAGTGCTGCTCGGGACAGGCTGTGCCAGCACTTTGTGTGCCAGGCACAGCCGCACCAGGAGCTGAAGGACCGTTCCCCGAGCTGACACTGGTGAGTGCTGCTCTGTGCAAAGGCACTTCACAGGTTTTATGATTTCCTTGGCACCTGTGAGCACGCAGTGCACCGCTTGGTGGGAAATGGAGCAAAGAAGAGTGTTTGCTCACCAGGGAGTGCATGGGCAGGCCTTTCAGGGGATGCACACCGAGAGCAGCCCAGCTCACCAGTGACTGATCTCACTTGAGACCCTTTGCCAGCCACTCCAGGCTCCTCTGACTGCTTAGCTCTTCTGTCTCTGCTCCAATGAATTTGCATTCAGTGGCTTGGGCTGGTAAACTCTGCTGAACTTGCCTGCCTGCAGCTGTTGCCATGTTCTAGCAGTTGTGAAGCCCATTTTGGAAGCTCTCTTTGGTTTGGGGGCTGGAGGAGTTCCTGCAGCTGGGATGAGGAGACCAAATTCATGGTATAACTCAAGAGCTCGGTGAACCTGAGCAAGAGAGTTTTCTGCTTCATATTTTGTGAAACGCAGGCGTGCTGGCCCTGTTGGTGCCTCCATCAGTTCTCAGACCTTGGTCCTACCTGTGCCCATCCTCATCCTCCTGCATGAACAAAAGCGGGCTGCTGGCTCTGGAGAAGTGTTTTGTGAGCCTGTGGCCAGCCCAAATAAGGTGTGATACAGTCTGCCTTCTGTCCCTCTGCCTCACTTCTCTCTGTCTTATTTTATTTCTCCTCCCAGTAATGCTGTATTAACTCACAGCAACTCCTGTTAATGGAGATGAACAGACTGAAGTGGAAAAAGAAGTGAAGCTGCTGGAATCACAGCTTCCTCTGCCTCAACAGAGGAGGCTTAAAAGCTTTGAGGCTCTGTCCTGGGCTTGGATGCTCCAGCTGGTATCACAAGTACCAGCAGAGCTGCCAGGCACTGGGGCTTCAAAACTCAGCTCTCTGAAACTGCTGTGAGGTACCAAGATCTGGCATGGGATGGGGAAGCTCCATCCCTTCTTGTCACCCCTGAGGGACCCAGACCCTTGGGACAGCAATTAAGAGAGGCATCTTGGGGGTGAAAGGAGATAGCAAAGGAGGCAAAGAGGGAGAGAATTACATAGATAACAGTGGCCTGGATATAACACCTGGCATGAAGGCAGCAGCATGTGCCCAGAGGAGGTAGAAGTTGCAGAGACCTGGACTCAGAGGTCTGAAAGGAAGCACTGTGTGTGCCCATAAATATCCATTTTGCACCCTTAGGTGCAGAGCACGTCTGTGTTTCCAAGGCTTTGGCTGGATTAGAGTCCCCAGCCTCGCGGTGCCAATGCTCTCTGTAAACTGCGGCGAGGTCTTCTAGTTATAGCCTGGTTTTGGTCACTCAGGTGTTTCCATAGTTACTGGGCTTTTTATTTATTTTTGGGGGATAACTGATGTTGTCATGGCGATTGTCATATTGTCAGGCCAGTTTTCATCTCTCGGTGGATGAAGGCTGAGATTTCTTGGCTGGGAAAAAGCACAGCGCGCCGGGCCACCAGGCTCAGGGTGACGCCAAGGCACTGGCAGAGAGAGTGGCACCACGTTGAGCTATCCAGGGGATATTTATCTGTGCTGCAGACACAAAACTAGTCATGCCTCCCATTAAGATTGGGAAATGTGCCAAGGAATTGAAGTGAAGGATCTTCCAGGAGGAATGAAGGCTCAGCAGCCTCTGTCCCAGGAGGAGCAGGCAACAGTTTAGCAATAATGATGAAAAGGGCTGTGTGGGCAGACAAGTGGGGTTATCGTGCCATGGCAGGGCCAGAGGCACAAGGAAAGGGTGTAAAACTGGGTGTGTGCATGCAGATCCCTCCACTGGCTCATCCAGCACCACTCTGCCACACACAGACATCCCGAGCCAGAGGCTGCATCCAAGTCGGCATCCTTAATGACCCTTGATGGACTTTTCTGCCATGGTTTTATCTAATTGCTTTTTGATTATTGCTGTAGTATGATGGATTCTGGTGTTAGGCTTAAGACAGTGGCTGCCAGGATAGGAAAACATTATGGTTTGGCTGATGGTGTATTTACTTGTAAGAGGTCTGATCGAGAGGTCTATGTGGTGGGAATCCCTCATTAATCTCAGGATTAAGCTGGGTGCTGAAAGCTGGATCCTGTGCAGAGCTGGAGTCCTGAGCTGAGCCCGAGCTGTCATTTGTGGGGCAGGTGATGCCTCAGTGCTACAAGGCAGAGACTGGGGAGATGCCTGGAGGATCCTAATGTGGCCACATCCAGGATATCCCCCATGATCAGCCCGTTTAACCTCCGTGGCCTCCCTGGAAGAGGAACAATCGCAGTCCCTTGTCTCACAGAACTGCAGGAGGGTAAACACATTCCAGACGTGAGGCACTCAGACACAGCAGTAATCACAGCTCGTATACGCACTTAAGATAGATGAGACACGGTGGCCTGATGTGGCAGAGGTCTCATGAGATCATCTGTCTATACATCAGCAGCAAACCAGCAAAGGGACTCTGGGAGAAGTCTGGTATATTTGGATATATTGATTCTCTCTGGCTCTTGGCAAGGAGGACAAACATCTGCAAAAAATATCCAGCTTGAAGAGGTGCTTGTCCCTGGGAAGGGGAGGCATCCTCCTGTCTCAGAGGTTTGTCCATTAAGCACATTGCCTGCCATCTTCATCCTCCCTGGAGAGGAGACAGAGGATATTTATAGGTTGGAAATCAGATTTGGA